GCTGCCTCGTGCCCCCTCGGACAAAGGCAAAAACGCGCTGCGAGTTCGCGAAAATTTCGCAGATTTTGAGAACGCGACAGATCGAGCTCGAAGACTCGTGGCCACACGTCATTAAAATATCACCGGAAAATAGTGCGCGCTCTCTCGCGAGCTTGGGAAATTTCTCTCGGTCGGCGGACGTCGGTTGAACGAAGTTAAGAGGCAGCGTAGAATGTGCACTCGCGTGCTGTGGAAGCAGGCAGAAAGAACAGAGGAGGGGGTAGGGGAAGGGGGGAGGCAGAAACGGCAACTTCTCGAAATTAAACGCGATGCACGCCAGGACGAAGGACATAATGGCGCCGTTTCGAGAACTCCGTCGACCTAGAAATTGCAACGCGCACACATCCAGGCGAAATTAGACGGCCGACGAGCGTTGACAAGCTTCTGACTCCTGTGGGAATAACATGGAGTAACACTCGAACACCGGGAAAACTGTCGCTCGTTTCGTGATTTTGTTCGTGAAACGACGAAATTCAACCGCGAATCTTTATACCACTTTCTCCCCTCCCCCTCCCCGTTTTCACGACGATTATACGATTATAAATTCGATAAGTATAGTAACGCGTAACACGTAGTTACATATATATATATATATATATACGCATGTAACGTAATAAAAATTCACGACGATAATAATGGAATCTAAGTGGAATTTAGTTCATCCATTTTTTACGACGCGATAATTTCGATAAGTATGCGACGCGATATATGTAATACGTAATTGCATATAATATCAGTATTGCAAGGAACACTGCATAATCGTAATAAAATATAAAAATTCGCGATGATAATAGTAGACTCTAAATAGAAATCTATTTCGTTCACTCAATAAATCATAATGAACATTTCAAGCGATTGTTTGTTTTTTTTCTGTGTTTTCACTAAATTCAGGAATCCATTTGTATTTCAATATTTGTACTCTATAGTCCTTGTAGATTATTTTGACCTTTTTTTGTCTCATACAGAAGTACAAATATTTCATTTGTTTAGCAAATTAATGGATTTCGGACAACGAACGTCGAAGACAATTTTGCTTCCAAGTAATTGATCCCCTTATGTACTCGCTTTTGCTATTTATTGTTAAATTTACGCAAAAAAATTATCGTATTTATAATTTCAACACATTTTATAATATTTCAAGGCAACGAAATAAACAAAGAAAACATGCAGTTGAAAATAAAGAGGGACTGCTCGGAGAAATCTGACGCATGATCGACGACATTGCAAGAACAAATTAATTTTATCTCCAATCATTTTAATTTTGCAAATATTTGATCTTTTTTTTTTTTACTTCTTTCTATGAATTGACTTGAAAATTCAAGTTCCTCCGCATTTCGAATTTTTAATGGTTGTTTTTTTCTCTGTCGAATAATTTTCAAAAAAATAAAACGTTCAAAAAAGGGCACCGATGGAACTAAAAATTTTTCAAAAAAAAGAAAAAACGACAAGAAAAGATTCGTCATCTTGTTATAATTCAACTTCGATCTTGCAGCAAGTGCTTTCGTCGAATGTGTACTCGTCTCGAGATAATTAAGCACACTGCAGTGTTAAATAAGCTCGAAATAAAACAGAACGCTTTTGAGGTTTACGAGGAATATTATATCGTAGCTAAATTCGTTCACCCGTTCTCTCTCGCGATCATGAATGAAAATTGGGCGCGCGACAACAACAACAAGTCGACATCTTTTTAACGACGGCGCGTTAAGCCGTATTAGGCGGGGAAACTGGTTTCGAAACGTGACACTCCACGCTTCTGAACTTGACACCGTCGATTGGAAAACCGTCGCCGGCGGAGGTCCGTCGCTTGTATATTATTGCGCTATCCCGATCCGGTCGATGCTCGAAACCGAACAAAGATCAATCTGATCGCGGCCGATTGACGCGTACGAGCCATCGAAAGAAATTGCGTAACACCGTGATACCGATACAAAGTGCATGATCGTCAACTAAACGGTTAAATTCTCGAAATAAATTCGCTATCGCTAGTGGGGAATTGGAGGACGACCGGAACATAAATGTTGAAACGACGCGAATCACCGCGGAATTTCTGTTGAGATTGACAGAACAGAGGCAAATCGAGGATTAATCCTCGTGTCGGAGAAATCAAAGTGCGAGGAACGGGGAAATTTATAGCAAAATAAAAGATACAAGCTTTCATGGACTATTTTTTAAGCTGTGTCCTCTTATTTTAAAAGTTGACGGATGTAAGTCGAAAATTAACGACAAAAGT